GAAGGAACTTTCCCGATGGGGCTGCACTCTACATTAGGCAATAGTAGCATAGAAGTCAGAATCACAGTGCCTTCAGTAGATAAACAGTCCCTCTAGTAGATAAAGAGAAGAGGCGTATCAGCGAGGAAGGCACGATGGTCCCTGCAAGTCTCCGCCCTCTTCGTCGCACGTCGGATTATGCCGAGTGTACCTTTAGGTCCAGCCATTAATTGAATGAGGCACGAATGTCATACCTGCTCAAGCCCTTCTTGTGAAATAATCGCATAAGGACCCGACAGTCGTGAGTCTTCTGCGATTTGTGTGACGAGTTCAGTTAAAGCCTGTAGACAACGAGCAAACACATCTTTGTATTTTACCATGTGCCTTAACGTTGAGAGTCATGGAGCGCTTTCAAAAATCAATAATCACAATCAATAACATACTTTTCCTTCAAAGCCTTCGCTTCAGAGACGGATGTCCTGGCCAACAAGTCTGACATTATCGATTTCCGTTTTTTGTCAGCGGTGACATGCAGGTAGATCTGAATCGCTACACTGAAGTCCCAAAAGTCAGGCACCAGGTGGCAAAACGTAGAAGACGTAGAACATCAAAGAGCTTGACTAAACTCACCTTAGGCTTGGGGCCACCCACAAGCGCTTGCCGACTTTTCAGAGTGAGTTCGGCATACGCTACGGTGCTCTCAAACTTCGTTCGATACAGACGCTCTTCGATATATCCCTCAGCAACCTGAAAAACATCAACCAGTGCAGTTGTCACGTGTGAGTGTGCGAACGCAAACAACACACAGGTTATCGGACCGCCTCGCAACTTCGCGCGCGCTTTTCAGGTATTGCGGCAGAAGTTCTGCTCATATAATTCGCTGAGGTTACCAAAAACTGAGCCGGAGCAATCTTGGCGACGGGGGGGGGGCATTTTGTACTATCATTGCTTCCTTAGTTCCGGTTTACAAGTCTCACTCTGGCGAAACCTGTGAACTCTTGTGAAGCTGGAGCAAGGTCATCAAGCCATCATGAAACCTGTCAACTCGAGAAGAGGCTGTCTAGATAGGTCGACACGTCGATGGGAAGTAGCAAAAGTGCAAAATGCCCATCCCCCCTCCACGCCGAACTGCGCCAACTGAGCCCTTTGTAACGCCAGTGATATGTGAAAGAACCCCATCATTTGAATGTTGA